TAATGATATTATTGTTATTGTTATTTAATGTATCAAAAAATTAAATAAAATAAAAAAAAAGTGATTAATATTTAAATCTCACCAAATGATAGAATATATACTGTGGCACATCTGTTTTATAATCTTTGTCGACCACTGTGTGAAAACGTAATATACCGGATGCAATTAAAATGACTCTCCAAATTTTTTCTAGGCATTAGGTATCGTAAATAGATCACATATATGAAAAAAAACGGTATGTAAAATTTTCAAAATGAAATGTAAACTTGTTGCAATTACAAGATAATTATAACATTCGCATTGTCACACGAGTTATGAATAAAACAAGCAGGGGTAGAAGGGCGCGGGCGCAGGGGATGTACTCGCATGTGCCAACGACGATGTCTACTCGGTTTTTTATTTTGTCGGCGCACATCAGTCGCCCTCGCACAACCCCTTTGAACGCACGCACTTCCGCCTTCCGCTTCCGTGTTGCGCGCCGCCCGCCGCAGCCCCACATTTCGCGCGTCGTAATGTATTCCAATCACGAATATTATGAAATGGTGCAGTGTTACAGACATGGTGATCAACGTGACGCGGAGGCCCCATCGTGGGGCCTGCGCGATCGCCGGACCTAACACAGTGTGACTTTTATTTGTGGGGCGAAATTAAAAGACGTGTGTATGTTGAGGAAGCACAAAGCCTCGAGGACTTAAAAGTGCAAATCAGAGCGGCATTTTACCAAGTGAAAAATGACACGGTAGTGCTCGCAAAATTAAAAGACAATGTGCAGAAAAGGTGCAAGACTCTGTTTGGAGAGGAACGGTATGTACTTTGAACAATTATTAAAGTATACGTAGGTAAATAGTTAAAGTAGGTAGGTAAATTGATTAGTTGATTATGTACATAAAGTTGATTAAATACGCCTGATTTCAAAAGAATAACGAGTTAAGTACCTACTTTGAATTGGTTTAACTAAACAGAATTTTAGGTAACTCGATATTTACTTACCTACTTACTTTATAAATTTAAAGCAGTATAGCTATTGTAATAGTAGGTTTCTAATAGGATTTAGGCAATTTTACGGTCCTAAGCCCGTAAAAGTATGAAGAGGTTTCAACTTTATTTACCATTTCCCCAAGCATGACAAAACGAAAACATTTTAGGTAGCTGCTATTATTACTATCAATGAATTGCGGCAAGGGAGGGAGGGGTAAATGCAACGTAGTGCGTAAAGCGCACGTACTGGGCAGCGAGAGCGTCCACAAATGTAGGTTTTTTGAAAATAACTTGGTGACGATATAACTCAACATTTTTGTTCTAAACGACATAAAAAGAAAAAACCCGTATTTCATTATTTGTCGTAAAGATTAACATACTCAAATTTGGAGAGTGGTTTTAATTGCTTCCTGTATGATATTTGTATTTTGTAAGTGGCACTTCAACATCAAATAGTCTGAAAGTAAACTCATAATTGTGAACACATTTATTTATTTTACCGATCCTTCGCATAAATAGAATCCGATAGTAAACTTATCAATAAGTTAAATATCAACCTATATACTAATAAATAAAATACAAAACATTTCGGTAAAGTGTCCCAATCGCGCGCTCAAAAATATAATTTATTCGTAAAAAAACAAATAATATAAAATGATCAGCGCGCAACAAGCAGGCGACGCCGCGAAGTCAGCCCCTCAACAACCAGCGGCAGCATCAGACCAACCACAAGAAATGACGGCGATCACAATCTCCTCCAGAATACCAGAGTTTTGGCGTCAATAGCCAAGACTATGGTTCCATCAATTCAACGCTATCGTGGACCCACAAAAGGCAAATAACCTGCACAAATCACAGTTATTAATTGCTAAGCTGGGTCGAGACGAATTAAGGGACGTTAGTGACATATTAGAAAACATGCCGTCATGTAACAAATACGAAACACTTCGTAATAGACTTATATCCGTCTATGAAGAGTCTGAAACACGGCAATTAAATCAATTGTTGAATGAAATCGAACTCGGCGACCAAAGGCCATCACAATTACTCCGACGAATGCATGAATTAGGCAAAAACCGTGTTCCGGACGACACATTAAAATTGTTTTGGATAGGTCGCCTTCCGCAATCGATAAGAGCAGTTTTAACGGCTTGTGATTCAGGTGACGTAAAACTAGATAGTCTAGCAAATATGGCCGATAAAATAATAGAAAACTCCCGCCCAAATGAATTAGCCACAATTGCTAGTACCCGACCGTCAACCAGTTTAAACAGCGACGATATTATCAATACATTAGCCAGTTTCAAATTAGAAATAGAATCTATAAATAGTAATATAAACTCTAACAATCAATGTTACCGTCGCGAGTCGCGAAGTCATGCCCGCCGATATCAAAATAATAAATCTTTAAGCCGCTATTCGCGATCAAATAGTGCAAACTCAAATAAAAATTCTTATGCCAATCAAAACGCAAAGCCCGGTGATAATAATTATGCATGTTATTACCATTTTATTTATAAAAGTAATGCACGTAAATGCGGTGATATTATAAATTGCAATTTTATTAAAAACAACTCGGAAAACTAGATCCGACACCGACAGAAATAATCGCTGTCGGTGCCGAAAAAACCTATCGATTATGTATCACCGATAATAATACACAATTTCTAATAGACACTGGAGCTGACGTATCTGTTTTAGCAGCACGCAAACGAAAAATAATTTCGGACCAATTATTATATGCTGCAAACGGCACAAAAATTAAAACGTACGGCGAACAGACCATTGTTCTCGATTTAGGGTTAAGCCGTCCTTTCCGTTGAAAATTTATTTTAGCCGACGTCCAAAAATCAATCATAGGCGCCGATTTTCTTTCAGCTAACAAATTAATGGTAGATTTACACGGAATAAAATTAATTGATAAATTAATTGATATTATCATGTGAAGCAAACATTTCCCAAACTACCGAGCCTAGTATCCGTTCCATAGTTGTCAACAACGAGTTTCATAAAATATTACAAAAATTTCCCGACATTACAAAAGTAGAAAATTTCAAAATAGAGCCTAAACATAATATTCAACACCATATCTACACTACTGGACCTCCAGTGCATGAAAAAGCACGTCCACTCAACCCGAAGAAGTATAAATTAGCCAAAGCTGAATTCGAAAGAATGATGCAATTAGGCATTTGTAGACCTTCGAACAGCCCATGGGCCAACCCACTTGTATGCGTAGATAAGAAAGATGGTAAAGAAACAAGACCTTGCGGTGATTATCGCAGACTCAACGCACAGACCATTCCAGATAGATATCCTTTACCAAGACTTTTAGATTTTACATTTATGCTTAAAGGTAAAACAATATTTTCAAAAATTGACGTCCGAAAAGCTTACTTTAACATACCTATGAGACCTGAGGACATTCCAAAAACAGCTGTAATAACGTCCTTTGGCTTATTAGAATTCACTAGAATGAACGTCGGTTTGCGTAATGCTGCCCAAGACTTCCAAAGATTCGTAAATAACGCTCTTAAAGGCTTAGATTTTTTTTTGCGAATTCGGAAAATTATAATTGGAATTTCTAGGTTATCATATCAATAAAGAAGGCATCAAATTAAAAATCTAATTAAAAAAAAATACAAACTATTTTCAATTATCCTCAACCTAATAATATTGAAGAGCTACGTCGATTCTTAGGTATTTTTTATAGAAAAAATATCCCAAAGGCAGTAGAAATTCAATCACCATTAAACGCGTACTTACATAATTAAAAAAAAACGCGACAAAACTAAAATGACTTGGTCTGAAAACGCGATAAAAGCATTTAACTAATGTAAAGAAAGTTTAAATAACGCTGATATGTTATCTCACCCCGATAGTTCCGCACCACTTATCTTAATGACAGATGCTTCGGAGAATTGCGTAGGCGCAGCTTTGCATCAAAAAAATAACGATAAATTAGAACCCTTAGGATTTTACTCCAAAAAATTGACGGAGACTCAAACTAGATATATTTGTCATTGATTTCGAAATAGCTGGGCATATCACTTTAACTCGTAAATTAAGTATCTAACATTTGCCAAAATAAAAAAGTTACGCAAATGTGCATACTGCGTCATGAAAACACGTCCTGACAAGTCCGTTCGTGCCAGTCAGCGATCAAAGCACACGGGTGGCAACCACAGATGCGACGACGTAACTATGTAGTGTAGGTACTTATGAGTGAGGAGACAACAATGTTTCGTGTCTAAAATATCTATTAATGTAATTAAATTATTAGAGAATTGATAATTTTATTTAGGTAAGTATTTTAATTAGTCAATATCGTTGTTAAAAGGTTTTGATAAATTATATTTCATTATGCCCAGCTTCTCATAGTATTTAAGTAAGTTACTTTGACATGGTAATTAATTGCAAAACTAGTTATTTGCTGTTTTGAATACCTACCTAAAAAAATTGTTTTAGTTAATAAATAACAGGTAATGAAAATAATATTATTTCAGCTTCACCGCCAGAAATTATGGCATCTACAAAAAAAAAGAGAAGAACTGAAGAAGAGCATCGAGAATTCAACCGGGATTGGACGGAGTTATTCGCTTTTATATGCAACTCAGATGGCCTTTCGACTTGTCTCATTTGCCACGAAAAACTCGCACACAATAAAAAATCTAATTTAGAGAGACACTTCACAACAAAAACATTCTCAGTTTGCTAGTAAATATCCAGCCGGCGAAGAACGAAAAAAAGCTGTTGGCGAACTCCAAAAACAAAAACAGCAATCAAGTTCCATGTTAAGTGACTGAACGCAATCTACAGGTAATGTTAATCTGGCAAGCTTCGCGGTATCACTAGAAATTGCAAAAAAAGGCAAACCATTTACAGATGGTGAGTATATCAAAGAATGCTTCATACGTGTATCTGAAGAACTATTTCGTAATTTCAAAAATCAACCAGAAATCTTGAAAAATATTAAAGATCTGCCACTATCCGCTAAAACAGTACAAGATAGAATAGCTAAAATGTCTTCAAATGTTACAGATTCGCAAGTGGGAGACATTCAACTGGTTTCTGCTTTATCAGTTGCTATAGATGAATCTTGCGACATTAAAGACACGGCACAAGTTGCTCTTTTTATCAGGTATATATCTTCCCAAGGTCCAAAAGAAGAACTTCTAGGATTGCTACCTCTCTCGGGACAAACTAGAGGGAAGACATAGCGAATGCCGTGCAAAAATGCTTTGAAGATAATAATATCGATTTAAATAAAATCGTTTCAATAGCAACCGATGGAGCCAGAAGTATGACAGGTATAAATAAAGGGGCAACAATACTTCTTCAGAAAAAAATTGATCACGAAATTCTCATGTTTCACTGCATAATTCACCAAGAAGCGCTTTGTGCCCAAACATTTCCGGCCGAAATAGTTGAGGTCATGAATTTGGTGATAAAAATTGTTGACAACATCTTAGCAAAAGCTCTCTAAAGAATTCTTAGAATTTAAAGAATTCTTAAACGAAGTGGAAACTCACTATTCAGACCTCCTTCTTCACAATAAAGTGCGATGGCTTTCTAAAGGGAAAGTGTTGAATCGTTTTGCTTTATTATTAAAAGAAATAAAAATATTCCTCCAAGAAAAAGGCATTAATCACCCCCAATTAGAGGACAGCGAGTGGTTACAAAAATTTTACTTTATGGTAGATATCACTGCAAGATTAAATGAGCTGAATCTAAAACTGCAAGGAAAGGGAAACCCAGCCTATGTTTTGGTAGAAGAATTGGTTAGTTTTGAAGAAAAATTAATTATTTTTGCAGAAGATATTCAGAGTGGTACATTACTTCATTTCAATTTTTAAAGCAATATCGCGATAAAACCAATGCAACTGTTGACACGAATTACTTCAGCACAGTCATAAAAAAATTATAGATGAATTTTCTGATAGATTTCAGCAATTTAAAACCAGGAAAACCACTCTAGTATTCATAGTAAATCCTCTCAACACAAATAGTAAAGAAATCCATATTGAGCCATTTAGAGTTGATACTGGATGTCTAGAAATGCAGTTAATCGATTTAAAAAGTAAATCTTTGTGGAGTGGTAAATTTACAGAGCTAAAAAGAAAGTTGGAAGACCTGGAAGTCCAGAAATGTATGTACATAACGCAACAACAGTGGACAGCTTTAAAAGAAATGGCGCGAGTTGAGAGTCTAATATTCGACGCATGGAATAGTCTTCCAGATTGCTACAGTGAGGTGAAGAAGTTGGCTTTTGGAGTGCTGACTATCTTTGGATCGACATATTTTTGCGAGCAAGCGTTCTCTTGCATGAATATAATTAAAAGTAAAGTAAGAAGCCAACTAACAAATGAAAATTTGGAGTCGTGTTTGAAACTTAAAACGACTAGTTATGAGTCAGATTTATCCAAATTATCAAAAACCATGCAAAGCCAACGCTCGCATTGAATTTGTTTGCTCAAATATATGTTTTATTACTTTTTAATTATTAACTACAAGTTATATTGTTTAGTAAAGATTATTTTTTTTACTTAAATAACTATGCAAAGCCAAAGTTCCTATTGAGTTTGTTTGCTCAGATATATGTTATGTTCGTTTGTATTTTTTTAATTACAAGTTACATTGTTTGGTAAAGTTTAAATTTTATTTTTAAATATCCAGGCAAAGCCGATTGAATTTCCTTGCTCATCATTATGATTGTTTCTGCCGCGCCCAGACTGAGCTCGCAGCCTCGCGCGTCATGCGCCGCCGCCCCGCTCGGTAAGTGTGAACTGCTGCGGGCACGTTGGCCCGAGGCATAGCAAGCGACCGCCTCGCCCGAGGCAGTCCACAGTCACCACACCGACCGAGCGGTTCGGCGCATGCCGCGCGAGGCGGGCCTCGCCTAAAGGAGCGCGCTCAGTCTAACTTTGTAACTAAATGTTTAATTGTTTTATTTTTTTACTTGAATTATAAATAATTATTAATACCATAAATATGTTTAATTTTTTATGAAAAAAACTACTCAAAATTGAATAAATAAATATTATTTTGTCTTATAAATAAACAGATTAAAATTACTTTATTTATGCAAGTAATATTTATTGTGATTGAATCACCATGATTGACCGAAAGTAGTTGATTCCGTGCATCGGGGGGCACGTTAAGCCGTCGGTCCTGCGCCTGATCTCTCACCGGTCGTGTCGGTCAACCGTCCCATCGAATATAAAGAGTGGAAGGAAGAGAGAGTGAACTCTAAGAATGCGAAACCTAGTTGGTCACAATAAGCAAAGTCCTGCGCAGTAAGTCGATGTCAGTGAGAGTAGGACTACATTACTTATTTATTGTAGGCATAAAAACATTTTGTGGCTCTTTAAAAACTTAAAAATGTTGTAAATTGTAACTTTTGGCTCTTTTGACTCAAAAGGTTGCCGACCCCTGACCTAGACGATTGAGACAATTAGATTTTATTTCACAATTTTGTGACAAAATTCAATATATAGAAGGTGATAAAAATATAGTAGCTGACGCTTTATCTAGGATACAGACAATAACAATACCTTCTCTATTAAATTATGAAGATCTGGCCGAGGCACAAAAAAAAATAAAGAATTACAAAGTCTCATTAAACAAAAAGTGATCAATTTAAATTAATTACAATGCCAGACTCTGATATTCAAATAACTTGCGAAACATCAACTGATAACATTCGCCCTTATTTACCTGCACGGTTTCGGGAACACATTATTAAAAATATACATGACGTCAGCCACCCTGGAATCGCGACAACAAGGCGATTGCTTAAATCAAGGTATTTTTAGAGCAATATATACATATTGGACATATTTTTTATGTGTTAAAAAATATGTCCAAAGTTGCATTCCTTGTCAAAAAAGTAAAATACAACGTCACACATTTACACCGATAGGCGAATTTGATAGTGCGTCACGTTTCGAACATGGTACATATAGATATCATAGGTCCGTTACCATATTCCGATGATTATAGATATTGCGTAACCATGATAGATAGAGTAACAAGGTGGCCTGAAGTAATACCCACGAAAGATATTACAGCTGAAACAATTGCTAAAGTTTTAATAGAAAACTGGATAGCTCGTTTCGGTTGTCCAAAACGGATAACTTGAGATCAAGGTCGTCAATTCGAGTCCGACTTATACGCCCAATTATTAAAACGACTCGGCATCGAACGCGTTCGTACAACCGCATACAATCCAAAAGCGAACGGTATGATTGAACGACTACATCGCACTTTAAAAGCAGCTATCATGGCAAAATGTATGGATAACACACAATGGGTACAGCAATTACCGTTAGTTCTACTAGGCTTACGTACATACAGCTATCAAATTATACCTAGGCTATAGCCCCTCACAATTTTTATACGGAACTAGTCTTAGATTGCCAGGTGATTTATTCATAACAGACTATAAAACATCGGTAAATACACGTGAATACATAAATAATTTAGCCCAGTCACTTTCAAACTTACAAGGTGCCTCACAATCAACTTCTCACAACAAAGGCAATAAAATATTTATTCATAACAACTTAAGTTCATGTTCACACGTCTTCTTAAGAAACGAAACTAGAAAATCATTGATTCCACCTAATGAAGGGCCTTTTAAAGTCATGTCACGCCACTCAAAGTATTTTAAGATCGATTACAACGGCAAACACTTGACTGTGTCACTTGATCAACTCAAACCAGCTTATCTTTTAATAACTGACGAAATGTCGGTCTCATGCCATAGTCACACCACTGAGCCATTAAATATCGAACCACCGAATGCTGTAACAACGAAAGCACTTAATACGCCACAGCCTGTGTTTACACGATCAGGTCGCGCAGTTAAGAAAACTGTGAGATTCGACTTATAGAAAGAAGCATAACCACCAACGTCACAATCTTTTTTGGAGAGTCTGCTCGAGCTGCAAGACTCGATTTTGTCTTAGCTGCAGTTAAGCGGTCAGCTCATCGATAAAGCAGTATTGGAACATATTTCTACAGTTTAACCAATTTATTAAATACGCCGAAGTGTCAGTACAAAAAACAAAGTGAACTGTGTAATTAATGAACTGCAACTATATTATATTATATTATATTATAAAAAAAAAACCCGAACTTGGTTGGTACCACTTTCATATATTGTGAAATTGTAGGCAGATATTTTGCGGCTGTAGTATAAGGCCATGTTAGTGCCATGTGGAGTATTTAAAACTTTTTGTTAATCAAACCTTGCACAAACCACGCTCTTATCTTTTCCATGCAGGCTTTGGTGGAAAATAATCGATTATTAAATTCTTCCTTTGCTTTTATGTGCGAATTCATTTTTTCTACTTCTTCTTTAGTTAAGCACATATGGTAGACTTGTCCTTTCTGGGCATATGGAAGCTAATATTGTAATTTGTTTTAAAAAACACCGAAAACACTTTAAATGACATGGGTTTCAATTCGTTTGCATTGCAATGTTAATTGTAAATATCGTATAAATTTGTCAAATTTTTAATATCCTCTGACAAGTAAAGTTTTAGATTCTTTTCGACAGTAATGAGAAGGAAGAAGTGGCAATAATGAAATGAACAATTAAGCATGTTGAATTACTTCTTCCAGGGATTTGTTGTGCTTACCATGTTTACCCCTTTCATCTTGTTTTACGATATCGTCGATAGTAGTTTCAGCAGTATATAAGTATATCTTTGTGAAATATCTAATGTTGCAATAAGAAATTGTTGTCACACCTGCCGTCTTTCTTCTCCTTCATTTATATAGTATTCGTATGTTACATTACGTCTGGAAGTATTCGGAGTGTCTTAAGTTCTTTTTAAAATGTTTTTTACTGTTATTTGTGCGATCCAATCTTTACGCCTTTGTTGGTTTTGGAATTTCCAATAAAATTCGAAAAGTCTTTGCCGGCGTTCTTCAGATACTTGACCACAGCCATTTCTACAATTTCTTTCTCTTTAATTATATTTCCTTTTAAATCAACATAACTTTTTCCCGATTGTCTTTTATTGTCATTTTCTTTTTTAACAAGAGACTGGCTTCTCTTTTTCAAGGTTTATGCTCTTCATTTCATCTGTTTCAGTATTTTTGGTTTCGTTGAACTTTAATCCCTTCTTTCCTTTTATTTTATCCTTCTTTTTTATTATTTTCTTCTTCGTGGCTTCTGAGTGGTTGTCAACATCGTCTGACTCACTTGATGTGTTCTGCTCAGTTCAACTTCCGGAATCCTCTGATGGAAAAGCTTCATTTAATATAATATCGTCGGCATCAGTCTCATCAAGAAAATTGAAATAAGCGTTTTCTTGAAGAAGTAGAACTTTACAAGAATTCTGTCGTAGGTCTATCCTCGTAAAAAGTGGTTCCGATTCTAGGAGATGTGTTTGTTGTAAGTTTACAACTTGGCCTTCGTGACCGACGGGAACATTCGGAGGAGACACGCTTGGTGGGATTACACGCTTTCATGAAGAGCGGAGTTTGTTCCAAGAATAGGAGACATGATTTGTAGGGCGCTCGCATAACGGCTATCATGACTAGCGGATCTTGATCCAGGAACAGAAGATGTTCTTGGTGGGATGCTCGCAGAACTGCTTTCACGAAGAATGAAGCTTGTTCCAGGAACAGGAGACGTGATTGGTGGGATGCTCGCAGAACGGCTTTCACGAAGAGTAGAGCTTGTTCCAGGAACAGGAGACGTGCTTGGTGGAATGCTCGCAGAACGGCTTTCACGAAGAGTGGAGCTTGTTCCAGGAACAGGAGACGTGCTTGGTGGAATGCTCGCAGAACGGCTTTCACGAAGAGTGGAGCAGGTGATATCAGTTTGTGAAAAAATTTAAAAAAATTTGGTTTGCATGGCGTAACTTTCTTGAGTACTTCTTTGGTCTCCTTCATATATGTCTCCGGATGACGAAAAATTGGAGTAAATTCTTTATTAACACGTTTGACGTGCCGAGGTGTAGTTAATGCAGATGTTTTTTCTTATTTTTCACAAATTTTCCGTCGATAAAAATTAGTTCACTTAAAACTTGCATTTTAGGCTTTTTATCTGGTTGTCTTGTTTCTTCATTATACGACTTAAGATCTTCTAACCTTTGCCTTCGTTTCGCTATCTAAAAAAAGAAAGGAAATCCTCATCTAACATCACCTGCTAGAAACCCTAATCCCTTTTTATTCAATCAAAAATGTATATTGTGCAGTAAGGCCCATATACATGACACTTGAATAAACACAAAACAATAAAAATAATGGCTATAAATAACAATTGTTTAATAAAGATTTACTTTTTAGAAAACAAATTAGTCTAAGCCTAACTAGTCTAGTCTGTCGGTGCCAGACTACTTAAACCAAGCTTAATAAAAGTTCGCAAAGCGCAACTCCACCAGGAAAGAGCCTGCAATAAAACCTGGCAGGTAATAAAGGTCCCAATACTTATCACTTATCACGCAACTCTCCTTAATGCCTCATTAACAAACATAAAATGTATTCAAAAGTACTAATACGGCAAGAAAACAGGCAATTCAGTACAGATAAAATCAAGTATAGATTCATAACACATACCTTGACAAAGTATTGTTTAATACAAAACAGTATATCACGACGTCAAAATATATTTTTTCACCAATAAAACACACGATAATTTTACTACGGTGCTCGCGCACTTACTGACAGCATGTGTCGGTACGGTCGCGTTTGCGGCGCGCAGTTGCCGTTTTAATTTGTTGTAGGTTTGGAGCTACTCTAATCGAGGCCTAAAAACTAACAGCGTAAAACCTTTCATTCATATGAAAATGTCACAACAAGTGATTTAAATAGTCCAATCAATATAACTTCTATCTTCTAATAAGGGCATATCTTTTATTTTGTTTTAAGTGGATGTTTTAAAATGTAGTTAGTTTAAGAATGTTTTTAAAGCATTCAAGTAAGAATGCTGTATCGTAACGGCTTATATTTAGATACCTGTAAATGCATCACATGCATCACCAGCCCTTTTACGTCTCCACTGCAGTGGCTCAGGCCTCCGTATGGATGGTTAAGGAGGATGGGCCATGACCCTCCACGCTGGCCCAATGCGGATTGGAGGGTATTAACGACTGCAAATGCAGCCGGGACCAACGGCTTAACGTGCCTTCCGAAGCACGGAGTAGCTCGAGATAATATTTTTTTGGTCACCTATCCCGTGACCGACCCTTGCGGAAGTTGCTTAACGACAACGATCGCGGGCCGCGGCGCTTATCCACTACGCCACCGAGCTACTTGTAAATGGTGTACGTAAAGAAGCATTCAATGTTCATCCCTAAAGAATGTCATGAGTAATATAAGTTTAAATTTTAGTTTCGTAATAAATTCTGTAAGTATTAAGCATTTAAAATCACCTGTTTGATATTTGCCGTAAGTAAATTAGTCTCAAAAACAGCATTTTCTGGCAGACTTACGACAAAATTTACACGGTTAAATTCCAAAAATCCTTCTTTTTGAAATTTTTGTGATCGTAGAGACACGAGACCCAAATCGATTTTTTTTCTGATTCCGACTGTGTATTTATTCCACTTACGCCATTTTAGCTACTTACAACAATCACGTTTTCCCCCGTCGATATACTACGTACATATTAACATAGAACTAAAACCTCGACCTTTTTTAAGTCGGTTGAAAAGTAGGCAACACTTTGTGAATGAATGACCGTAATGTTTTCTTAATTTTTTATAGGGAGGGATACATTTTTACAAGTATCAATACTTCACTCAATAAAGATATCGATTAAAAGTATCAATGACTGAAGGCATCGAGTACTTTCTAGATATTTATAAAATAAAAATTGTACCAATAGTTTTTTTTTTGTTGACCTGATTTTATTTCTGTCATAATATCAGTGCTGTTTTAATCACGAATATACATTTCAAATTGATCTAAAGAGAAACTCTCCGTAGTTTAGATAAAACCATGAAATCTTGACTATCCCTGCAATTTTTTTTTTTATTTTAGATTTTTTTCGATTCGTACTCTATACAAAGACAGTTTGTCCAACTACTACATAATAATCAAAAACAGGTAATTTTAACAAAGTTTTGGCCGTCATTGCGTTTGTAAGTTGAGTTGAAGTTCTGAATACTTCATTTAACGCGTTTAAAAGGTTATCATCAATTTATCAATAACCATAATTTTATTAAATTTGAAAATGCGTCCATTTTTTTGCGTGCGTAACGTCATAACGGTATTATAACGCATATTTTTGCCACACCACATAATAATTTGGTTGCTTTTGCCTCTTATTCACTGGCAACACCGTTAATTAAGATGCCAACATTCATAAAACAAAAACGTCCTTGTTTGTTTGGAGTGAAAATCTAAATAGTGTGTCAACGTGAGAATTGTCGTCTGAAATTAATTTTATTGTGTTGAATTGCAAGGTAAGTATTGGGCATTCTACACAATTTATTGATAAAAGTTATTAAATCTTTGATATCACATAAAGCAATGAAACTACTTCTCTGTATGTATTTATTTGCAGTACAGTGATATTTTGATTTGAAGTTATGTCGTGCGCTTTTTTCTGTCATGATTGTAATAAATGTAACGAAATGTGTAACGTTACGGTCATGACCGATTGTAAGGCGGAGAATACACTTAAGAAATTAAATTTTGACTTAATTTAATTTTCTTCATTTTATATTTCAAATGGCGCCACTGACCAATGCCCAAAGGCAAAAGAAATATCGTGAAAAGTTGCGAACTCAAAATCCTGCAAAGTACGAGGAGATTAAAACAAAAAATGCGGAGCGAAATAAAAAACGGAAGAAAATTAATGAGTGTTCTGAAAAACTTCAAGATTTGAAAAGAAAATAGTGGAGAGCTACTCAGCAACGCTGTAGAATGAAGAAAGAAAAAACTGATAATTCTGTTACGTCTCGACATCGTGACTATGGTATCCTTAACACAGACTGCGGGAATATGTCCTTGGTTAGAAAATTACAAAAAGGTTGGTTAGTCAAAGGAAACTATACAATGAAAAGATAAAAAATATGAAGAAAGAAATGCAAAGTTTTAAAAGGAAGTGTAAACGTTACATGCAGAAGAATAGAGATATGATTAGTTTTGTAGATGAATTAAAATCGAAAGCGACTGAACCACGTAAATCACAGATTGCTGCTCAAGAAGAAGACAAAACAAATTTACAACATCTCAACATTATTCAAAATGAAAACGAAATGACTACTTTGTCCAAGTCTAACAGTTTCAACAGTTTCACAGGTAGGTGTTAGAACAAAACCTACCTCACATTGCGGAAGAAGATAAATAAAAAGTAAAAAGCACCTTTTAACATATAATGTTTTAGTGAATGCTATTCAAGACACATAACCAAAAAAAAAAGTGAACGAAAACGAAAGTGAAAAAAGAAGTTCATGATAAATTGAAAGCTCTGACTTCTGCCTTTAACGAAGATCTGAAAATGATGAAAAAACATGTGTTCAACATAAAACATAAATATGCGCAGTATCTGTCGTGTATTACGAACTTAAAGTCAAACGAAGTAGCTATACACATAGACTTAAGTGAAAATCACTTGTGCAAACTATCAACCGAAGTACAATCAATGCACTTAGGTGCGTCGAAACCGCAGGTGACACTGCATACTGGCGTTCTGTACGTAAACGGAAAGAAATCACAGTCATTTGGTTCCGTATCTGCATGCAATGACCACACTCCTGAGGCGATTTGGGGTCATTTAAAACCCATATTAAACTACGTTAACATACAATATCCGCTGGTTAATGCGGTGCATTTCTTTTCCGACGGGCCAGTGACACAGTAAAAAACAAAAAAGAACTTTTTCCTAAACCTAAAAAATCTAATCCCTCCAACTTCTCTGACTTCTGTCCAATCTCTATTCTTTCTTTTCTATCTAAATTGCTTGAGCGACTTGTTCATCAGCAATTAACTTCATTTGTTTTAAAACACAACCTTCTTAATCCCTTTCAGTCCTGGGCATAGTACTGCTTCTGCTCTTGTTCTCAAGATTACAGACGATATCAGGCTTGGGATGGAGCAGACACAGCTGACTGTGTTATCATTATTAGATTTCAGTAATGCTTTCAACAGTGTAGATGTCTATGTTTTATTAGAAATCCTTCGCTCTCTTAACATATCTCCGACGGTGATTCCTTGGTTTCACAGTTATCTGCAGGGACGTCGGCAGCGTGTTCGCGTGAACGATACTTTCTCCTCGTGGTGTGATATCGTGGCAGGCGTCCCGCAAGGCGGCGTACTATCTCCGTTACTCTTCTCTATTTTTATTAACTTAATTACCAATAATCTCTCTTCGTCCTACCACCTGTATGCAGATGATCTGCAACTTTATACACAGGCTCCACTTGAAACTTTGTCATTAGCTCTCGAAAGAACAAATGATGATTTACAAAATATATCTACATGGAGCGAACAATACGGTCTACAATTTAATGTCGCTAAAACGCAAATCATCTTAATCGGTAGCTCAAGATTAACATCTAGAATTAATTGGTCTCAACTTCCTCAACATTATTTACAAGGAAAACATATTGCGATCAGTGATACAGTTAAAGATCTGGGTGTTCTCATTGACAAGTAGTTGGGTACCTCAATTAGCAGAGACAAGTAGGAAACTTTTCGCATCTGCTGCTTCTTTACGAAGATTGCGAAACTTTTTGCCGATTGCCACGAAAATTGCGCTTGCTAAATCACTTCTGCTTCCAATATTGGACTACGCTGATACGTGTTACCTTGACATTAATGAAGATCAGCTGGATAAATTAGATCGTCTCCAAAATTACTGCATTCGTTTCATTTATGGCTTGCGTAAATACGATCATGTCTCTATTTACCGCAAAGAACTGAAATGGTTGCTCATTAGACTACGCCGGAATTCTCACATTCTACATCTTATGTACAATATTTTGTTTATCCCTTATTATCCTCTTTACCTATTCGTGTTCCTTCATCTATCCAACTCCAAAGTTTTACGCTCATCTGAAACTGTTCTGCTTAACATGCCACATCATTCTTCCCAGTTTTATGATAAATCCTTTACTGTACAAGCCATTCGTCTGTGGAATGCGCTCCCGGTGTATATCAGACAAGCTAAAACTCCCAAATCTTTTAAAGCTATGGTAGGGGATCACTATTTATCACTTGCTTATTAGTTTCTCCAATTTCTTCTCTATATACATATATATCTTCGTGAGTGTTTATGTACATGAAAAATTATTCGTATTGTATTGTATTTATACTTGATTTCTATTTTATATTATGTTCTTTATCTCCTAAATTTTATATTTGCCACATTAATTGTTTCTTCTATTAGTAAATTTAAGCCACCGTAATTCTGTTTTTCATATACCACTGTCCATCCAAAGGTTGTCTGGAAGAAATTGCTTTAAGCAATAAGGCCGCCCTTGTACTACCTTACATACTATTATTCCGATATAAATTTTTGTAAACAATGGTGTGTACAATAAAGAATTTTTGTATTGTATTGTATTTTTTTTGTTTACAAACTACGTTAAAGGTATGGGGTTCCCCTATTCAACCTGAAACTTTAGTGAAGCTGGCCATGGTAAGGGTGCTGCCGACGGAGTAGGAGGAGCACTTAAACGCAGACTGGATGACTTGGTCAAACATGGCACCGACATACCAGACGCTCACACGGCCTATACACTTATTAAAAATTCTGACACCGCGATCGTGTTCAGCAGTCGAGGTGTTCCGCAAGGTTCAATACTCTCCCCAATCCTATATGTTTTGTATAGTGCGGATATTATAAATTGCATCAAGTACTGTAAGTATCATTTATATGCAGACGAACTACAATTATATCTCTCTTATCCTCCAAATGAATATAAAAATGCAGTGTCACAAACCAATGAGGGCCTGGCAAGGATAGAAACATGGTGCTCCTCCAATTGTCTTGCTCTCAACCCAAAAAAATCAAAATTTATGCTAATTGGAACTAAAAAAAATATCATAAAATGTAATAATATTACCTTTAATAGAGAGCTCATTGAGCGTGTGCATAAGTGCAGAAATCTGGGTTTGGTTCTTGACGGTCATTTGAATTTTGAAAGCCACTTAACTGATTGTGTTCGAAATTGTCTATATCGGCTTAAACTATTATATAAAATGAGACCTTTCTTAAGCATGCAATTTAGAATGTCTATGTCCTTTGCCGTACTTAACATTTTTGTGGTAATAAGCAGCTGATACTCCAGAGTCATTTTTTGAGCCATCTGTATAAATTGTTTCATAACCTAGCCATTCTGATAACTTTTCATATACAGTTTCTTTTGTTTGTAAGTTGTTATCTATATCTATTTCTAATTGTGGGAATTTCCCTTCATAGGAACCTTTATAACAAGCCCAGTGTTCATTTCTATTTATGTTTATTTCTAGAATATATGCTGATATTGTTGGAATATTAGTCTATGGATATGTAGTATTACTTACTCTATGGTAAAACGTCACATTTAAATAATATAAAGAAAAACGAATCTGATGAACATGGCGTGTATTATTTAATCCGTCCTCCGCAAAAATTATTAAAATGTGCACAGGGTACAAAACTACAAGATTTTTTTTTAGTATTTGACAATCTTATTGGAGAACTAAGTGGCATAGGAAGTAATATAGAAGAGGAAGACAAACTCTGTTATCTCCTAGCTGCAATGCCTCCAAAATATGAATCGGTGATAACATCTATTGAAACGATGTCAACTGAAAATAATAATATTAGAGTGGATTTTGTGAAATCAAGGTTGCTTAATGCAGAGATAAAATTTTCGAACAATGACGTACAAACGCCCCAAGAACAAATATTTGTATGCTATATATGTGGAAAGAAAGGTCGCAAATCTTATGAATGTCAGAAAGCTGAAACTACAAGAGGATACTATGGACAAAGAAGAGATCAACCAACCACGTCGTATGAAAATTGGCAACGAAGTAATTCAAGACCATACAGAAGGCAAAGAAGACCAATGGTGCGAGGACGAGGAAGAAGTAGAGCGACATACGCAATAATACTCAGCATCGACCAGGAAAGACTTTATCTCTAGCATGTTTTCGGATTGGTCTTTGAGAATCCCTCCAACAGACTGCTTTCCGAATATCCAGCGATTTAGTTTTACTCGTCCCTCATCCTTATTGTTCCTCACCATTGACATGCAGTCCTCAGCCACATCCCCGCAGATAAAATGCATTTTAAATCAGACACGTCACCACTCAAGCAGTTCCGGTACTGACACACTCCATCCTCCGAATCCTCACTGGTCGAACCTCTCCGATCCACCTCCATCTTCTCCCTCACTCCGTCGCCCGAACTGGGCCCCCTCACAACGTCGTTTTTGTTTTTATTTTTAATGTTATTAGTCTCCATATCTTATCCCACGAGCAGTAGGCAAATGTAATTCCACCCAGACAGAGGCCGTGTGTCTGGGCAAGCCTAGGGTTGTGAAGGCGGGGGTCTGCCGGTCCCCGCCTCCAGAGGCCGTGTAATGACAGCCCTACCGGCTGCCATCCATCCCCTCGCCCACGGCAAACTTGGGATTAGTAGTTTTTTAACGAGGTTGTCTTCCTCACAGAGACGCCCAACAAAGGGTAGCCCCCCCGTCTCCACTCAAGGTAGAGGAACGAGTCGGCCGGTGGTTGCCTTGAAAAAGGCGCCCGCCGCTCATGCAAACACGACACGACGAGCCCACAGCCCTCGTTGGCACGACCGCTGCCCGGGTTACCCCCGGGACGCCCGCCCAACCCAAACCGCACCGCCGCTACCCGTCTTACCGTCAGGGCGCCGGCCCGGAGCCCTCAACAACAAGACTCCCTCAGAGAGGGAAACACCCTACCACGCGACCCGAAAAGTGGGTCTTACCTCCCCCCTAGACTCCTCTCGACGGCTCTGAAAAGAGTCAACCCGGCCCCCCTCCGAAGAATGGGAAAAATAAAATAGATAAAATTAAAGTATTTGGATCTAAAGCATGGGCAGTGACTATACCAAAACCAAAAAAGTTAGATGCGAGAGCAAAAGCTATGAGAATGGTTGGGTACACTAAATCTGGTTATAGATTATGGGATCCTGAAAATGAAAGATTACTATATTCTACATATGTATTTTTTGATGAAAAGAAGACTATTTTCAATAAAAATAATGATCAAGATGATATAAAAGATAACAAAATAGTTTATTAAGCAGAAGAAAAAGAGGAAGTTAAAGAAACAAATAATGAAAGAAGTGAGAATTGAGAAGAAAAAGAGAAAGAAAGAGAAGATGAAAGGAATAATAATAGATTGGAAAAAGAAGTAAGTCGTACATGAAGGATTATAGAGAAACCTCAATATTTAAATGACTATTGTAACACCGTAATAGTAAATTATTACATAAATAATATAGAACAATCGCGGTCAAATACATTGCTTACTCTTATTTTCGATAGATGGCGCTGTACCATTGTGAATCGCGGTATATCTTCCTTTTGTGTAAAAGTACTAGTGTTAAGAAATTATTTTGTTAAATTAAGCTTATACCACTAACGTTGTAAGTGCGTACGTTAGCATCCTGTACTGGAACTTACGGACCACTAACACCCAGTCGCGAAATAAGCATATTGTTGTATTGGTTAGTCCTGTATCGATTATTATAGATCGTAATAAGGAGTTTTGCTTTTCATTCTTACAATCGCAAACACCAGCTGTTATAATTGGCGCCTCAACTCAGGGATTCAACTTTTGACGATCTTTACCAATGATAAAAGACGAGAACGCCGGCACAGAGACTACAATTACGAG